TTTCTTCTCACACCGGTTCACCAATGTCACTTTCATTACGAGGAAGAAAAATGCTAAAACTAAATTGTCCTTAACCTTTTTATTGAAAAGGAAAATAAAACTCAAATTCTAGGGCTTTTCAGTCGGAGTATGTTCAGTTTCTAATTTTGCAAGTTTACATTAGAGACACGACCCTGTGGTTCTTGGGCCCAGAAACAAAAGTCATTGGCTGTTTTCAGGTTTGGAGCATAAAAATAAAAAAAAAGGAAAAGTCAGTCTTTTTTTTAATTTTTTTATCTCTTTTCGTTTGATTTACTGTAAAAGTCTTTTTACTTGTTTCAACAAATAAGCTTTGGATCCCTTTCAGACAGAATGCTGTGGTAAGACTTAACTTGTCTAGGTGTGTGCTGTGGCCGGCAGAATGAAGGATCCAAACACAGCACTCGTGCACGAAGGAATAAACTTAAAACGGCAGCTTCATTGCTGGAGAAAACTTGAACATGTAATGCAAGAAAACGAAACTAGAAACTCAAAACATGAAGCTCAAACTAGAAAACGAAAACAGAGAACCAGAACATCACCAGGAGCACAGAAGAAAAACACAGCACTGTAAGGGGAAATCACAGCGCTTAAATACACAAGGGACTAACAAGGAAATGGGAAACAGGATGGAAACACAGCCGGGACTAATCTGACATAATGAGACGAAAGGGAAAACTCAAAACTCAATACACTGAACACAGGACAAGAAACAGAAGACAGACAAGGAGACGTGACTGACTGGGGAGAAACGGGAGGTGAACGAACACAGAGACGAGAGAGAAACGTGGAACACAGGGAAGACGCAGTGACAGAGAACTAAGACAAGCATACAACACATGGAGACAAATAAGGAGAACAAGAATACAGAAGGAAACCTTCAGTGGAGACACGACACCAGGAACACCAGGAACTCAGGGGAGGCACAGAAACAGAACAGAAACCAGGAACTATAAATATAATACAAGCAGGAAGCAATCATTCAAATAAAATAACTTAAACCAAACACAGAAACACTGGGTCACCAGACCTGTACGTGACATAACTATGGCACTAACAGGAAATCACATATTACTCCAGTTTTGGCTTCTGTTCGTAACATAGATCTTAAGTTAATCTCAGAGAGGATGGTTGGAGGACTTCGACGGACAGTGCACAGGCTTTAAACAATCTAAGCCACATGCAAGTGTGAGAGAAGAAGCACTGACCTGCATGTCTTAAAGTGGTCATTGCTTGTATGGAGCTCAGAGGAGTTACATAAAAATTAATGCTGTTAGTAATTTTAAGATCAAACAACTGATCAAATTTGAGAACTTTAAACGGAAAGCTGGAAAGTGTAAGAGGAATAGTAACTATTAGACTAGAGGGAAGAAGCTCAAATGTAAGAATCTGGAGCCTCAGTAAACATGTAGGTGAAGGAACAGAGGTGATTTAGATGTGTTGGGCAGGTGTGGTGTTAATGAGATAAATGCTGAAGAACAAATAGTGGCAAATTTTGCAAAAAGAAGAATAAGAATGGAAATGACTGTGGCAAACCCATAGTTCAAGAAAGGGGAGTGGAGGGAGGTGCACACAGGTTGAATATATCTTATGATGGAGGTGCAAATAGGAGACGG